GATTGGATTGTCACAAACTTCACCCCCATTTAGTTGATAACCCTAGTTGCACTATGGTTGTTAACTCTCTGCACCCTCATGTTGTTGCTGAAGTAGCCAGTTCTGAACCACCACACTTGTTCACTATCAAGGAGGGTGATAATGTGTTTAAAATTGGTCCCATCACTGATGCTTCCCCTCTCGTTATTGTTCATTTTGTTGGAAATACTAACTTGGATAATCCCCATTCTCAAGCTTTATTTCCTATCATTGGGACTCCTTAAGTTGCTTTAAATGTGGTCCCTGAGGCTATTGTTAATAATCATAATATTTCTAATATTATTTATCCTTCTTATGTTGATGTTTCTAATATGGAGCCTAATAATTTAAATGATGGAGATGCTAGTAATATTGGTGTTGAGGAGGAAACTGATGTGCAAGGGGATAATATGAATAACATTGGTGTATCTCCTGGTGTTATTGACTATGTGATGTTTGTTTGGCTGCGCCGTTTCATAATGCTGTTGTGATTTTAGATAGTGATTGTATCCCCTTTAGTCCGCCTCCTAATGTTGTTCAACAATTTGTGCAAACTCCTATAGATTTGAGGCTCTATGAATGTAATCAGGTGAATTTAAATGATCATTCTTCAGATACTGTTTATGTTTCTATTATGTCGCCTTTGGGTTCTATGGAAATGAATGATGAAGTGTCTCTTATAGATATTCCAATTTCCCTTGTTTCTTCTGATGCTTTGATAGTACATTTGGCTTTTAAATTGAAGGATAATATTGTGGTTCAAGGTGATTGATTAGTTGATTGTGATTCATTAGCTAATGCAAACGTTGGGGAGGAAATTCATGTGTGAGGGGATGAATCTATGAAAAAATATGGCTTAAATATCGTTCTAATCGATGAGAGAGGCTTTTACAAGAATTTTGGTAAACGTCGACGGAGAAAATTCAAAAAGAAATAACTTCTTTTTGGATCCTTTTTTCCTTACTATGTTGTGTTGATTTTGTTTTTGGGTTGGGTCCAAGTTTGTATTTGGGTTGGTTGTGATGGTTCTATTTTTAGTTGTTGGGGTTGGGCTGTTTTGTGCATTATTGGGCTAGGATGGTTCTATGGGTCTAGGCTGGTTTGTGCCTTCTGCTTTGTTTGGGCTTCTGCTTGATGTTTGTTGATTGGGGATTTGGTCTTAAGGGGTTGGTTTTTGTTTTGTGGTCTTTGTGTTCCTTGGCGGTTCTGGCATTGGCAAGTTTATCTCCCGTTCTGGGTTGTGCTCTTTGTCTGTTTTTGGGTTTGTTAATTTTCTTTATCTTGCATGTTTATGGTTGGTGCTTCATGTGGCTTCAATTCAGGTGGCTAAAGTCCTTCATATTGCATCCTTGTGTCGTCTTGTCTCTTTTGCTGGACTGCATGTTCGGCTTTGCTAGCTTTAGGTGGTTTTATTTGTTATTGTTGGATTCGTTTTCTTTTGTTTACTTATTGTATTAGGTAGAACCAATGGATCATAGGTTTTTCTTCAAAGGTTGTATTTTTAGATAGCTTACGGTTCTTTAAGAACTTGTAATTTGCTTTTTAATTTAATGAGTAGGCCCCTATGTGGGTTTTATCCATTTATATATATATATAAAAAAAAAAAAAACTAGGCAATAAGTGTGACCAATTCTAGATGAAATAATGATATGTGCAATGGAAGATGATTATGCATGGAAATCTAAAAGAATGAACCATTAAAGTCTTTATTTCGCAAGTGCCATGATTAATTATTTGGAATTTGATAAAATATTAAGAAAATTAATAATAAGTACAATTCGGACTTAGCTTGTAATGTAGGGATGTTAATTAATATAATTAATAATTCATTGATCGATTCAAACCGATCAAATGTGAGATGTTGACTTGATGTTATTTAGAAAATAGAAATGTTGTATTAAATTTGAACACAATATATTATCATAATCTGGTTTAAGAATTTAATTAGCCCTATATTAATTATATTTTGCAATCACCATATCATAATATTCAATTGAGAGGATAAAGTTGGGGTGTCTAAAACATTTTAAACATCATATACTATCATTAAGTTTTTAGAAATTTTTCTAATCGTTAGCTTTCTTATTGTTTAAAAAAATGAGTTTTTTTTTTTAAGAAACTGTTCACTCTCATAGTTGGTTGGCAATCTTGATCGCTTTTATTTGCATGAGCACGTGTAAGATACTTCGTATAAATATAAGTATGATGATGTCAAATCTAATAATTAATTAATCACCAACCACCATAATTCTCTTTAAAATGGCAATCAAGAGTACCAAAACATTTTTTCTAATAGCTAATGATGCTTTGTTAGTTCATTTAGCAGCTTATTCGAAGGATTTTGAGGAGGTTCAGGAGGAATGGCTTGAAGAGTGTGATTTTGCATCTAATTGGGATGCTAGAGGTGAGATTGATGTGAAAGAGGTGCATAACTATGACCTTAATGTGGTTCAAATTGCTGCGAATGGTTCCTTAAAAAAGGGTGGTAAACGTAAACAAAGAAAAATGAAAAAAAAAAAATGATTGCTTTTTGGTTTTCTGTTTGGGCTGGGGCTGTTGGTTATTGTCGTGGTTTCCTTTTGTTATTCTGAGATGCTTATTTGTTTAGGGGATGTGCTAGTTGGCTTTTTGTGATCCTACTGGGTTGGTTTGTGTGTTTGGGGTTGCTCTTTGTAGTCTTTTTTGGTGGTTTTGATCTTTTGTTATTGTTTTCGAGGGTGCTTTCTGGTGGGTCCTTGTTGGATTAGTTTGGTGCATTATGATTTTTGTCTCCTTTCTTCTCTTGCAGGTGATCTTTCAATTATCTTGTTGGCTCCTCCTCCTGTAGATTGGCTGCCTTTATTGTCTGTCTCACATTTTGTGGCTTTGCTATTGACTGCTGCTTATGGTTCATGTTTCCTTTTATGTTGTCTTTAACTTTCTTTCTGTTGGTTTTGTTTGTACTAGTTAAATTCCGTTAGTTCTTAGGTTTTATTTTAATGATTGTATTTTTACTAAGCCTTTGGAGCTTTGATTTTTAGGATCTCTATGGCTTGAATGTTGCTCGAATTAATGATAAAGCCTTTTACAAGACGGTTGGTAAATGAAGACGGAGAAAATAAAAAAAAAATAACTTTTTCCTTGAATTGGTTGCTTCTTTTCTTGTGCTACAAAAGAAAACTTTGGAACCTTGGGACTGATATGTTATTTGTGGTTTTTATTGTTGTTTGTGCTTTTTGTATGCTGGGGAGATCATTTTGCTTGGACAATGATGAGGCAGTTCTCTCATTTTTGTTTGGTCTATGGTGGCCTTTGTTGATGATTTGGGACTTCTTGCTACTTGATTCTCTTGTAATTTTTCTTTGTATGACTTATGGGCCGCTACCTCCAATGGATTTGCATGCTGGTTTTGCAAATAGCCTTCCACCTTTTCCTAAGTCCTGCAGGTTTTATAGCCTTCTTGACATGGTTCTTCGCAATGACTAAATTTTGGATTATTTTTCCTTTTGGGTTTGCTTTGCAATTTATCTTTAATTTGATGATTAAAGCTTTGTATTTTTGTTTTGGCCTCTTTTGGGCCTTGTTTGTAATTTTTATAAAAATCATGGACCCTATATTGGATTGCCTAAATAGGTATCTCGATAATTTCATGGTTTTTTTGGACAATTTTTTTTATTTTTTAATTAATTAATTATTTATTTATTTATTTTATTTTTGGACATTTCATTATCTTTATGAATTCAAATTTAAGTTGCCTCAAAATACTCATATTCATGTCATCAAGCTACGTGGAGGACATTTATAAATCTACGTGGAAGACCTCATTAATTTATTACAATTTAAATTTTATATAAAAAAGACATTGATAATTATTTTGAGAACAAAATATAAAAATTTTGAAGCCTTTTGTGCCAACTGCCAAAATGATCAAATTTTAGTTTATAACACTATTTAAATAAGATAAATATATATTTTTTAAAAAATAAATTTTAAACATTTTATTCAAAATATTTAGAACAGGATGTCATAAAAGTTTAGAATATAATTATCTTTTAATTGCTTGACTAATAACTTGATTTTAAATAACTTATGGAAAATAAGTCATTAAGTCCCACAATTACATGTCGAGAAGATTTTAAAATGATATTATATAAAAATTTAAATATTAGAAAAGGGAAAATTTTAAATTGATAAGCTAACAAGCCAAGATTAAGCTGGCCCTGACTAAACTTGTTAGCTATGAACTGTCTCGTTTACAAAATATTATTATAAAATATACTTAGAATATATTAAAATTCAAGATTTTAAGTAAAAAGTTACTTAAAATATTTAAAAAATTTATCTGATTATTTTATATTAATTGATTCTTTATTATTTTTCTTATAATTTTTTCACTCTTTTAATCATTTTGTTATAATAATTGTTTAAATTATAATCATTTTTTTTATAATAAACAAGCCAGATCATGAGCTCCCTTGAACTCGTAGAATAAAGCCCAAGTTCGAGCTTGTACTCGATTAATTAATTAAGTTCAAGCCCAAGCTCGTGTTAGTGGTGACTAGAGCTCAGCTCAACTCTTTTACATAGACAAATCATCGTGGCGATTTTTTTTTTTTGGGACATTCGGCCAATTAAAACAAATTCATACGCACATAAAACGTAGAACTCAAACCCATGGGTTGATTTGATTTATTTTTTTTATTAGAACAGTGGTATCTACTCACTGCCACCCTCTGCCCAAAAGAGGTGTATGGTGGTGTAACTAATCCCGTGATAGGCATATGAACAACCAACACCACAGGTGCAGAGCCACACAGTTATTTTCTTCCCATTTAGAGAGTCGCGCCGCATAAGAGAGGAATTGAACATGAATTGAATCCCAATCACGCTCGCACATCAACTCAAGTAAGCCCCTCACGGTGGGATGATTTGATTTGTTTTACTAACCCTATTTTTTAATGTTTAAATAATATAATCTCATTCTAAAATATTGTAATATAAAGACAGAAAAGAGAAAAATGACTAGAAGGCGCCTCGACGATCTAGGCAAAGATAGTAAGCTAGATATTTCTTCAGTCCACTCTACAGTCCGATCTCTAATAGGAGGTTATCATTCATGGCCTCTACTGCCTTACCTCCGGCATTGGCAACTCGTTCTATTCCTTTCTCCTTCCCTGGCCATCGAAGGCTCATCTACAGTCCTGCCGGCTTCGGACCGAAGAGCATAGGGGGCTCCAATCGCTTCTTCCACCCTTTCCGGCTTCATTATCGACTCCTACGCGTCGCCAGCGAGCGGCAGATCAAAGATCCGGTTTCCGAAGAAGGTATCTTTTTCGATCAAAATTCAATTAGTTATGACTTGGATCCTCATTAAGTCATTTTCCATCCATTTTTAGCACTTGGACCATCTGAATTATTAATTTGTTCTTCGCATCACTCTTTTAGTTTATAAGTATCTCAAATGCATTTGTCAACTTGTTCTTAAAATTTTGAATATCTATAATCTGGAGTTAAAGATGGGTTTTTAACTTGTCATTTTGACAATGCAAATGAGAACCTGGACATAATCAGTTCCCAGTTGCATTATCAAGAAAGTAGGTAAAGTCGCCCAGCCTCAGTTATTAATTATAGAAGTGCAATTGTGAGGCTTACTGGAGAAAACACCTGCTTTTTTTTTGTTGTTGTTGTATTTGAGTATCTTTTGTGTTCTTAATTGGTTCGGGTTGTAAAAAGTGAAAAAAATTTCTGAAGAGTTAGCGGATGCTGATTTTGAAGTAGTTTTCCTAAGCTGACTTGGAATTTCGACATCCTTTAACTTGAAACTGATTGCAGGTGTTATTCGATTATGTACCATTTTGTATCAGTGGTCATGATTCGATCATCAAAAATGTATGAGGGGGAAACCGAAGCACCAAGGGGGTAAAACTAAAGCATCCAGATAGTAGCCAAGGGACAGCTTGATTGCATCAATTCTCCCTTGGTGGAGAATTCTAATCTCCTGATAAGATCTTCTCCATCTGCAGACTCCTTTGCATCTTGTGGTGGAACTTCGGCATGTTGAGTGTTTTGCTTTCCATTTTTTTTAAAGGAAAACATGACCTACAACATAAAGCTCTGATAACAAAATAATGCAACAAAAAATATATATATTAGGATTGCAAACTAAGAGTCTTCCTTACAATAAACATAGACAAACACATATATAATATCATAATACTAGAACATAACAACTTTCAATTTATATTAATTAAGAGAACAAAGATACAGATGGGGCGGGAACCATGGATAAAAAAGAAGAGGTAGAAGACCGAGACGAAATAGTAGAGGGAAGGGGAAAGGAGGTTAGCTCGCAAGCTAGAACAAACTCGCAGGTATACATTCCAAAAAGCATCACATTCTTCATCTTCTAAAACTACCACAAACAACACCATTTATAAGGGGAAAAAGGAAAAAAAAATAATTAATTCATGTAGTTAATGCACCTCCCAAACAACCAATAAGAACACCTAGAAAACTACAACAAACATGGACCAAAAGGACATCCGCTAAGGGGGAAAAAATGAAGCATCCACATGGCATAAGGGGGGGGGGGGGGGGGGGCCAAATTCTAAACATTATCACATATCCATCCTTAAAACTGTCACAAAACATCCCCATTTATAGAGGCAAAGCAACAACACAACTGTAAAGGAAAGGGAAACTGAAGCACCAAGGGGGGAAAAACCAAATCATCCAGATGGCAGCCAAGGGACAGCTTGATTACATCAATTCTCTATAGGTGGAGAATCCTAATCTCGTGATGAGATCGTCTGCATAGAAGGCCAACTTTCACCATCTATAGACTCCTTTGCATCTTGAGGTGAAACTTAGGCCTGTTGAGTGTTCGACTTTCCATTTTTTTGTTTTTGATTTTTTTTTAAAGAAAAGAAGACATGACCTACAACCTAAAGCTTTGATACCAAAATGATGCAACAAAAAAAGTACATTAGGATTGCAAACTAAGAGTCTTTCTTGCCATAAATATAGACAAAAACATATATAATATCATAATAGTATAACACAAAAACTTACAATTTATATTAATTAAGAGAAGAAAGATACAGATGGGACAGGAACCGTGGATAGAGAAGAAGAGGTAGAACGAGACGAAATAGTAGAGGGGAAGGGAAAAAGAGGCTATCTCACAAGCTAGAACAAACCCGCATGCTTTATATTCTAAACATTATCACATATCCATCCTTAAAACTGTCACAAAATAGCCCCATTTATAGAGGAAAAAAAGAAAAAAAAACAATTAATACATGTAGTTAATGCACCTCCTAAATTGTGAATAGAAACACCTAGAAAACTGCAGCAAACAGGGACCAAAGGGACATCCGCAAAGGGGGAAGAAAAAATGAAGCATCCACATAGCATAATGGGGGGGGGGTGTGAATCGAAGCAATAATACAGCTGCCAAGGAGGGGAAAACTAAAGCACCAATGGGGGGGTACCGAAGCATCCAGATAGCAGCCAAGGGACAGCTTGATTGCATCACAACCCCTCAACTAGGCCACAACCAAACCCAACAATCCAACCCCCACCCAAGGTACACCAACTAACAACCAACTACAACAACAAAAGCCCCATGCATGGGCAAACCAAAATCACAGAAAAGTAGACCCAAGAAAAAATCCAGCCAAAGAACCAACCAAACTCATCTAAAATAACTACTTCTTTTTGGATTTCTTTTTATTTTTCTCGCCTTCTTCATTTAGAAACCCCATTGGAAAAAGCTTCATCTTCAATGCGTGCCACATTCAAGCCAAACAAAGCTTGAAAATCATCTCTGGACTCAAACATTTCTTCCCCATCACCCCTGCCATCCGAGGAGAAACATTCCTCCATCCAATCAGAATGATTCATGCAAGAAACTTTCGAAGTTAAAGCTAGATGGGCATTCAAGGCATTATTAAACATAAAAGAGAGAGAGACACATCAATAAAAGCCATATTATCATTCTCATTGACAATATTAGGCGACAAAGACATTTCAATCAAAGGAGAACCACCTGAAACAATCACCAAGCCGCTCAAAGATTCGTTCAACGCCACCCTGTTAACATCACAAAAGCACGCATTCCCAATCATCTAAGTCAACATGAGACGGACCATTTTTCATAGGAGCCTTCTCATCAATGACAAGGGTTCAACAAACTAATGATCACAAGACGGAATGAAAGACAAGTAATTCACAACCACATTTTTAATGCCCTCACAATCCCCTTGGATTACAAAAGGGGAAGTACAAGGATTATGAGAATGTTAAGCATAGGATCCAGAACATCGTTACCAGCCATCTCATCATTAATACCAATATCATCCTGAAGCACATATGAATGGCCTGACTCTCAAACAGGAAGTAATAGAGGATCCAAAGGACTAGTTTCCAAATTTTTTTCCATTTCCTTGTAATGTTAAATTAGCATTGCTAAGCCCCTCATTTGTAATTGTCTCACCTGCATTAACAGTTGTAAAGTTAACAGCATGCAATTTATCAAGATGAGATTGTAAAATCCAATAGTCCTTAATCGAATGGACAAACGATTTGCATTGAGAACAATAAGATGAAAAATCCTCCAACACAACGGACTGAACGTAACCGAAATTTTCAGGACCAACCCAGATTCTATCGGGTTAGTGTTTGGTGACATCAAGTTCAACTATAACACGAATAACAGAGGGCCTAGAATCTCACGATGTGACGTTATCAGTTTTAAGTGGCCGGACAAACATGGAACCAAGACCGTGAAGGATAGGGGGGGGGGGTAAGAGGTGAGGTCTAAGATTATGGAATGAAACCCAAATCGGGATGATATGTGATTCCACCTCAATATCAAAAATAGGAGTCCATTTGAAGACTTTCATGAAACAATTGCTCACGAAATTGGAACTATGAGAGAAAACTCTAAAATAATCCAAACCATTTACAAACTTAATTAATACATGCTTCAGGTTAAGCAAAGTGAGATAAATACTCAAAAGCTTGAGGTTGAAGAAGCTGTTCCGGATGACATCAATAGAGGGCCTCCGACCAGGGAACTTACCTACTAAAGCGACTCGAAAGGGGTAGCTAGTGACTGAATTTCAATTTCTGAAATCCAAAGGGAAGGCATACCACGGTGAGAAGTTATTTTAAGATCAGAGAAGTTCGAGGAAGAAGAAATCCCAGACAAATCATCTTTAAAAGATCAAGAGCTCGAAGACCCACCCAATAAACTAGGGTCCTTCAATCGATTAACAACCATGCCGGAAAAACAAAGGGAAAAACTTCCCTACATACTGTAATATCCTAATTTAGGTAAAGAAGTCATTTAATTTTAATTGAATTTTATTTGTATTATCAGTTACTGTTAAGTAACTATTAGAAATCATTAAGTAATATTACTGTAAATTAAGTAATATTGCTGTTAAGTAATATTATTGTTTAGTAATATTATAGTGAATTGTAATATTATTGTTAAGCCTTAGGGGGCAAGTTGGTTTTTTATTTTCTTTCATTGTAATGAGGTTATTTAAAGGCCGCCTCCTTCTTGGAGGCTAATGAATGATATTACATAAAATTTTTTGCACTTGTGTGTTTTGGGAGAGCTTGTGAGTTCTTGAAGATTGAAGATCCTAGGTGAGGGCATCACTATACCCACCAACCGCAGGAAGCGTCAAGGTTCTTGCCTTTCCCCTAAACCGCCGGCCATTTCCCCTCCTTCCCCTCTCGGCCGAACCCTACCACCACTTCAACCCTAGGCCGACCAACCCCCATCTCCACCCTACAAGCCGCCGGTCCCTCCCCACCGTCCCCTCCAAAACCGCCGGCCACCTCCATCTTCATTGGCTCCACAAATTTCCTCTAGCATTCAATGCCCTTCCTATTTTAGCCTTCTTCATTTGGTAACAAATTTGAATTCAAAATTCAAATAAATTTGAATTTGAATTTGTTTCCTAATTAAGAATCCCTATTTTAGGAAAGTTAATTAAATTAGATCTAATTAAGTTTCTAATTGGATTTGATTTAAATTAACTCTTTCTAATTTAAGATTCCAATTAAAGCAAGCTTTAATTTCTTTCCCTAAGCCCTATCCCACATGCTCATGCCGTCGCCCCCTTCCTTCTCCCCTCTCTCTCCCACAACTCCTCTCCTTTTAGGGACATCAATTTAGTCTCTCATCAAACCCTAATCCTCTCCCACTCAAATCTGAACAATCCCAAACACAATCCACAAGAAGAACTATGAGGAATAACAAGAGAAACCTTTTTAATTGATAATATATGGAAGAAAAACATAAGATACAATGGATCTTTAATTGGAGAGGAAGATCCGACTCTTTCAAATCCCTAGCCACTGACTAGAGTCCAATCAACCTAAGAATAATCTAAATTCATCAAACAAGACATGAGCCTAACCCTCGGGAAACAACCTACTTAAAGCATAATATAGTGATGTAATCCCAAAACAACCCCTCATTTGAATTTTCCCTCCTAACCAAGTCTTAATTCTCTTCTTCAATTGGTTGTTGGACCTCACCCCAAAGGGGGTGGAAGTTACTAGGCGGAACTTCTGTTTCGCCTCTTATACACCAAGGCCGGTCCAGGATAGACCCTCTTGACAATTCTAACAGTGTCCCAAATGACTGTTCATGGAAAAACATACTTGCATTACAACCTTTTATGTGAGGACTTTTTTTACACAAAAAAAAGGCAACATAATAGTCATATTGAATCTCCAAATTTTCATTACTGTATCTTTTAACATACTTGAACTGGTTCAATCTACTTCGAAGAAAAATACAACATAGGATTATGGGGAACTAATTTAGATTTTAGGCCGTATCTATAATAGCTTATATCTACACAAGTTTTATAGATATTTCATATGATTTTTTTTGGCAAATGTTTAACGTGACAAACCAAAGTTTTTTTATTGTGACAACTAAAGCTAATTGTAACTTTTGATTTCGACTAAAGCCAAGTTTTAGTGTAAGTTCTCCCAATTTTTGGGTTAGCATGTCCACAGAAGTTCATTTTGATGGTTCTAAGTTAAAATGAACTTCATATATGAAATTAATATTAAGCTGCTTTCTGTAATTAAGAAGTAAACATTTCCTATGTTTTGATTCTATGTTGATGTACTGTGATTTTTCATTTCAATGAATTTACTCGTTCTTCTTAAGACTACTATACAGGTTGTCAAGATGCTTTAAGCTCTACTGTATATGATGCCTCTACAATTGCATCAAACATCCTATATCATGCCGAGCTTACACCCTCATTTTCTGCTGGGCATTTGCATCTGCCCAAGGCTTACTTCGCTACTGCTGAGAGCGTTCGTGATGAATTGATGAAAAACTGGAATGCAACAAGTAGTTACTATGAAAAGATAAATATGAAGCAAGCATACTACTTGTCCATGGAGTTCCTGCAGGTTTGATTAATCAATAGACACTTCGGCTGTGCTATTCCTTTATAAGTTGATGTAAGCCTCATACTCAATATAATATGCAGGGTAGAGCTCTCTTGAATGCAATTGGTAATTTGGATCTAACTGGCCAATATGCTGAGGCATTGAAAAAGCTTGGGCACAAACTTGAGAATTTGGCTGGACAGGTTAGAACATATTTGTATTATTCCATTGAAATTTTATATGGTGAATTAAAACATGTTTCATGCATCATCGAAGGTAATAGAGCTAAAAAAATTATATCTGAGGCTAAGTAAGGGCATGCGTTTAATAAATCTATATGGATTCTGAGCTATTTGTTAGCCTTACATATTGGATGAGTTATATAGGTACAAACTGGTACACATCAATTGCATGAGTTCCAGCAAAACCAACCGGTATCATTGTAACTCCCAAATTGCGATCCAAATACTTATAATGAAATACATTGGTCTCAAAAGAGTGAAATTTGCTTCTCACCTTTATGAAGCTGAATTTAAAAAAAAACGACTACTCTTGGTTTAAACCAAACAAACACTTGAAATCACTTCCAGACACAAAATAAGTGGAAGCAGCCATTCTTAAGCATCGTGTTCCCTTTTTTTTTTCAAAGGATAACATTTGGTCACTTGGCCAGGGGCAGCTTCATGGCTCCTTAATTTTACTAGTTACCTTTTTACTTGCACTTTCAGGAACCAGATGCTGCATTGGGGAATGGTGGGCTTGGACGGCTCGCTTCATGCTTTTTGGATTCTCTTGCTACCTTGAATTACCCGGCATGGGGTTACGGGCTTAGATACAAGTATGGTTTGTTCCAACAAACTATTACAAAAGATGGTCAAGAGGAGGTTGCAGAAAGTTGGCTCGAGGTTTTCTTACCTGCTTTTGTTTCTGGCACTTTGACATTGGTTTTTGCTCTTCTTTAGTTTATCTGCAGAATCTGTGTTATCCTTGCAGCTTGGAAATCCCTGGGAAGTTGTCAGACATGATGTCTCATATCCTGTGAGATTCTATGGAAAGGTAGTTTTAGGTTCAGATGGAAGAAAACATTGGATCGGTGGGGAGAACATAAAGGCAATTGCATATGACGTTCCAATACCGGGCTTTAAAACAAAAACTACTCTTAACCTTCGTCTATGGTCAACAAAAGTTCCTGCAAAAGATTTTGATCTGGAAGCTTTTAATGCTGGGAAACATAACCAAGCAAATGAAGCCCATGCAAATGCTGAGAAGGTTTCTCTCACTTTGTTCCATGTCTTAAGTCTTAACTGCATCAAATTCTTCTTTGTGTTGTCTACATTATCCGTCCCCTTTTATCTTGTATCTTTTGAAACAACTACATAATTGTTTGGTTCCATACAAACTTACCTGAAATGTTTTTTGAGCCTTGTTAAATTTGAGATCAAGACTTGTGCAAACTGAAACCATTTCTGTTTTGCTTCAACATGCTACAAAAGTAATAAGGCACGATTGTTAAGCTTTGAATTTTCAAATCATTTAAGGGATGAATATCAAAAGAAAGTAAAATTTGAGTATGCCGTCCTACTAATTAAGGATGCTTCATAAGGCTACTATACTCAGTGCTGATGTCGGATTTATATTACAAGGTTGATTGTATTGATTTTGTAGAAACTCAAGGTGTATAGATTCTTGAGAATAGAACAGAGAAGAGGAAGAAGACGATTTGGAGAAAGTAGAACATTATTTCTTTATTACCCATACGTACAGACATCACCTATATATATTAAACAAGATGTTACACATTTACATATCTGGCTACAAAATAAATCATATTCTGAATTTATTTATCTTGTTGCTCTAACATCCCCCTGCAAACTGATGAGCCGGAGTCGACAGTCAGTTTAAGTCTGAGTTTGTGAAATCGCGGCGTTGACAAAGCTTTTGTGAAAATGTCGGCTGCTTGATCAATCGTGCTAATTTGTAGTAGGCGAATGGTATTTTGTTGAATGTGATCTCTAATGAATCTGTGATCTATCTCGATATACTTTGTGCGGGCATGGAAGACAGGATTGTTGGCTATGGCAATAGCCGATGTATTATCACAGTATACATCAGTCGCTAATGGTTGCTGTATCCCAAAGTCAGTTAGTATGCGTCTGAGCCAAATGATGTCCGCCGTAAGGGCTGCTAGAGCTCGATACTCTGATTCCGTGGACGAACGCGCTACCGTTGTTTGCTTCTTTACTGTCCATGAAATGAGGGTCGCTCCGAGAAAGGAGCAATAACCTGATGTAGATTTCCTTGAGAGAGGGTCTCCCGCCCAATCAGCATCTGAAATGGAAGTAAGACATAAGTTAGATTTAGAAACGGGAATTCCAAAATCTGTTGTACCTTGAAGATATCAGATTAAACGTTTGAGCAAATAGATGTGTTGTGGAAGAGGTTGTGCATATGTTGAGATAACAAGTTGACGCTGTACACAATATCCGGTCTCGTTAGAGTCAAGTACTGTAGTTTTCCCATAATCTTTTTGTAGAGTTGTGAGTCGAACAGTAGCTTGTCCGGAGCAAACTCTTTGGGTAATTTGGTACAAGTTGGATTTGATAACGGTTTACAGTTGTTGAGACCCGCTAGCGCTATGATAGATTTGGTATAGAGTTGCTGCGAAAGAAAATATGATTTCTCTGTACGAGTTATTTGAATGCCGAGATATGAATTAACGGCTCCCAGATGCTTCATAGTGAAACGACTGCTGAGTTGCATTAGAACTTGCTACAGAATTTCTTGGTTATTACCGGTGATGAGGAGGTCATCCACATACATTAAGAGAAAAATCTGACTGGTATGCTTGCGTAGAATGAGTAGGGATGGATCTGATGTACTGTGTTGAAAGCCTATGGATTCCAAATATGATGTAAACGTGTTATACCATTGTCTTGGGGCTTGTTTAAGCCCGTATATTGCTTTGTGTAACAAACAGACATGATCTGGGTTTGAGGTGTCTTTGAAGCCTATCGGTTGGCGCATATACACAGTTTCTATTAGAGTGCCATGTAAGAATGCGTTCGCCACGTCTAGTTGCTGAACCGACCAGTTATTATGAAGTGCCACCGTAAGAAGAATACGGATTGTGGGCAATTTGGCTACGGGACTAAACGTCTCCGTATAATTCAGCCCATACTCCTGATTGTTCCCTTGAGCTACTATTCTGGTTTTGTATTTTGCTATAGACCCATTTTCATGAGTTTTAGTTCTATAGGTCCATTTGCACCCCAGTATGGACGTGTTAGAGGGTGGAGGAACAAGACTCCAAGTCCCCTGTTTTTGCAAGGCAAAGAATTCTGAGGCCATGGCCTACCTCCATTCAATGCATTTGTTTGCTTCATGAAAAGAGGTGGGATCTGGACTGATGGAGGTGTCAGATTGTTGATGCATCAGGTTTAGACGTACCCGAGGCTTAAGTGACCCTGTTTTCTGCCTTGTTTGCATGGGATGACCGGTGTTCATGAAATGTGGCTGAGGCTGCTGACTTGGGACTAATGTGGTTTGTGGCGTGATTGGAGGAGCGGATTGCGGTTGCTGCACGGTGGTGGGAATAATTTGTTGGTAAGCAGGTTTGGTGTATTGCTGAACAGTGGACGTAGGAGTTAAGAATAATGGAGAAATGTCAGGTTGAGGTTGATTCTGAGGTTGAGTTGGCTGGGCGAACGGGAATATAGATTCGTAAAATGTAACATTTCTGGAAATTATCATTGTGTTGGTGCTTATATTTAAGCACTTATACCCTTTATGGTTGTGAGAGTATCCCAAAAATACACATAGTGGAGCTTTTGATTGCAACTTGTTTCTGAATTTCGCCGAAGTGTGAGGAAAGCAGGCGCAACCAAACTTTCGTAGGTGAGCATAATTGGGTTTCCTGTTATAGAACATTTCGAACGGAGACAAGTTATTAGTATTCGGAGATGGCATTATATTAATAAGATAAGTAGCAGTAAGAGTGGTATCCGGCCAGTAGTTGTGAGGAACCATGGCGGAATCAAGTAGTGTCCTGGTTGTCTCGATTATGTGTCTGTGTTTCCGTTCTGCAACTCCATTTTGCTCGGGCGTGTGAGGACACGACATTTGGTGGGAGATGCCATGGTTTATAAGAAATTGTTTAAATGCATTGCTCACATACTCGCCTCCGCCATCTGTGCGAAGACATTTGATTCTTTTTGACGTGTAGTTTTCTATGTTTAATTTGAACTCAGCAAACGTCGTTAGAACATCAGATTTACATCTAATGGGAAACAACCAAGTAAATCTTGAAAAATCGTCTACAAAAATGACATAGTAGAGGTAACCCGTGTGTGAGGCTACAGGCGCAGGACCCCACACATCAGAGTGCACTAAAGCAAGAATAGTAGATTGTCTAGTATCAGATATTTCAAAACCAAGTTTATGATTCTTGGATTTGTTACAAGAGTGACAAGAAGAGAAATTAGTATTTATATGTAGTAACGGATTGCTGGAAGCAATCTTGGCCAGTGTTTTAGAGTTAGGATGCCCCAATCGGTCATGCCATTGGCTGGACTGCTTGGTAGTCATTCATAGAGCCTAGTTTGTAGTTGGTATATTGGGAATGCTCATCGGATAGAGGCCATCTCTGCAGGGACCCCTAAGTATTTCTTGATGAGTCTGTAAATCCTTAAACACAAAACAGGTAGGATCAAAACATATTGAAATATTGTTGTCTTTAGTTAATTGAGAAATAGACAATAAATTGTAATGAAGATTAGGTGTATGAAGGATTTGGGAGAGATTTAGCTTACGTGAGGGAGTCGGTAGCAAGCCCCGCCCGGAGTTTTCTATGCTAACCGAACTCCCATCGCCTACAATGACTTGATCGGTACCACTATATGGTGTAGAGATGGAGAGATTATCTATGGATTTTGTCATGTGAGATGATGCTCCTGAGTCGAGATACCAGTTGGTATACTGCACGTAGGAGTCGGCCACCATGGCCTTTGGTTGTTGTTTGACTGTATTAGGAGCATAGTCCATATTTTGCCGGTGCCAGCACTCCAATGCCGTGTGTCCCTTTTTGGAACAAATTTGACATACTGGAATATTTGTAGAGGAAGCATCTATGGATCTTGTTGAAACAGTGAAGTTTTTTGATCTTGCTCTACCGCGACCCCGCCCACGGTTGGTGAACAGCGCTTGAGCTGGATCGGTTTGCAAGGCGAAGCGAGCTTGATCAGCCGCGATGTGAATCTCTTCACTTATGAGAAGTGAGTAGATTTGATCAAGATTCATGGGAGTTGACATGGTCCGGATAGAAGTCTTGAAAGACTTATATGGAGGTGGAAGGCCATTAAGAATGTGCAAAATTATATCCTCTGGATTTATATGAGATCTGGCTGCCGCTATTTGATCAACAAGAAGCTTGACTTCATTCAGATATTGAGCCATTGTGGAGTTCTCGAGAGAAACGCGATACAACTCAAAAATGAGTTGTATCACCTTGGAGCGACAAGAAGATTGAAATCTAGTTTCTAGAGTTTGCCAGATTGCTGAAGTGGAATCTAGATGAAGAACGTAGGGGAGGATGGAGGCTGATATTGTGGAGCATATGGCAGCGGCCAGATTTTGATCCGTTAGAAGCCATTGAGCGTACAGGGGATTGGGTGTGATTGTTCCATCCGTTTGCGTGATGGACGAGGCCGGAATAGGAGATGTGGCATCAAGAAATGAATCAAAATTATTGGCTCGGCAGATCTTGAAGATCTGAGACCGCCACAAAGGGTAATTGTCGGGGGATAGGATTTTGCACTATATTTTTGAGATTTGAGAGAACGAACTTTAAAGAAGACGAGATCACCGGAGATGAGCCCGTCGTCGTCTCTGAGCGTTCGGAGATGTGCGAACTGGAGGATGTTGTTGCCATCGGATCCCTGGATCACTGATCCACGTCTGATACCATGTAGAAACTCAAGGTGTCAAGATTCTTGAGAATAAAACAGAGAAGAGGAAGAAGACGATTTGGAGAAAGTAGAATATTATTTCTTTATTACCCATACGTACAGACATCACCTATATATATTAAACAAGATGTTACGTAGTTACATATCTGGCTACAAAATAAATCATATTCTGAATTTATTTATCCTGTTGCTCTAACAGATTTCTTATAAGAAATAAGGGTTTGTTGTTTGTAGACTTTCATATGTAGCTTTGTGTTTCCTCGATGTGGATGGGACTCTATCATCATGTACTCTTTTTATTTTTGAACCTCAGATTTGCTATGTATTATATCCTGGAGATGAATCAGCGGAGGGTAAAATTCTTCGCTTAAAACAGCAGTACACCTTGTGCTCTGCTTCTCTGCAAGATATTATTGCTTCTTTTGAGAGGAGATCGGGTAATTCGGTCAATTGGAAAGAATTTCCAAGTAAAATAGCAGTTCAGATGAATGATACTCATCCTACGCTGTGCATTCCTGAACTGATGCGGATATTAATTGACTTGAAGGGCTTGAGCTGGAAGGAGGCTTGGAGCATTACTCAGAGGTATGGTTTCCCATTTTTAAGATGAGTTTATTAAATATTATGCTTAGGTGTTACATAATTATTTTCCAGTTGTCCTAGAATTTCTTGGATATTTGAAGCAAACACAAGGTAAACATTTATGAATCCAAGCATTTATGGAGCAATCTCAATACCTAATAATCTATTAGATTTGGTTGAAACTGTTGCTTTTCACTAAATCTGATGTGGACATCGATCAGAGGTTCAAGCATGTGTATCGTCGGAGACAGCGCAGATCGATAGCCATGATTCAGAGTTTATATTTCTAGATATTTATGCATTTTTTTCTTTATTTCTTGGAGTTTCCTATTGTACCCTTAGTATGAGCTGAGTCATGATTGTAGCCCCGAGGGCAATTTAATCTTTGTATTTTTTTTTATGATGGGACCTATATATAGGTCATTCTAGTTGTATTGGAACTAATGAATGTTTGAATGAAAAATTACTTTTGGTTTCTACTTCTTCTTGCATGAGGGCTTGAGAAGGGAGAGAGCTCAAGGGGAGCAAATCGCAAGGCCCACCAGTCGTTGGAAGAGTCCGCGGCTCGTGGTTAAACTTTTCTATCTTCTCGTTCGCGTTTTGCTTCATCTTCTTTTCCTCCACCACAAGGAATCCCTTCTAAATCCTTATTGCCACCGGTACCGCCCCTTGGGAGCCCACCGCCGGCCACTTCCACGGCCCTGGCCGGCCACCTTGCCGGCGACTTCCCCCCACCCGTCCAACCCCATCTCTCAACAAGTTTCGAATTTGAAATTTGAAATTCAAATTTCAAATTCTTTCCTAATTTGGAATTCCAATTTAGGAAAGTTTTCATGAAAAATCTCAATTTCAATTTAATTTAAATTGGAGTCATTAAACATATTTCCACATCATCACCCCAAGTTGGAAACTCTCTTCCCACAAATCCCCTCTCCCCTCTCCACATGCCGCCGGCCCCCTTGAGGGATTCTCCCCATTAATTGCTTGTTTAATGTCTCATCCGTTTCGAAATTAGAATTTGATTTCAAAGATTTTTCCCTCCCAATTGACTTAATTCTGACATTTAATTTTAGTTTTAAGTTTAAACCTCCTCCCTCTCTCCATAAGCCGCCGGCTACCTTCATTGGCTTCCCCCATTAAACCCCATTAAATGCCTTAATTGCTTGATTTGAAATTTAAAATTCAAATCGATTTTCCCTCCAAACTTAATCAAATCTGAAATTAATTCAGATTTTTTTTATTAAATCCCTAATGCAAACCACCCAAACCTAATTCTCCCAAACCCCAAGCCCCCTCCTCCTTGCACCTGCCGGCCTCACCTTCTCCCCTTGAGAAACCGCCGGCCCCTTTCCCTTCCTCCTCCTCCTTCTTCCAAAGCAAGGACTCTCTATTACCTTCACTTAGTTCTCCTCTCCTTGAAGAATTCTCCACGCCAAGCATGTATGGCGGACCCGGAGTTTGAGTGGGGATTAGTATTCAACGCCGACGGAAGCATTAATATCCTACGATCTCCGTGCTTTGATGTAGTATTTGAAGATGACGCCACAGTTGAAGAATATTTGGAGCGAGTCGTCCCGATTCTTGTGAGCATCATCGACTGACGATTTTCTAGCTACGATTGGAGCATTGACAGTCAAGTATTCACGCCATCCTCATCACCGTCAACCTTTCCGTGGCTCAAGGCCATTGGTGTTGCCACCGTCTTCGTGGCATCGTTGAGTTTGCTAAAGGTCTTCTCCCGCTAAGCCCGACTTGAGTGTGAGTGAGCATGGTAACTCGTTGTGAACTTTCTAGACATTAGCCGTGGGATTCTATTATTTTCCGCATTTGCTTTATTGCGATACTTTTGAGATCCTTCATTAATTGTGTCTAAACAACTAGTTTGTAACTGCTTAGCATAACATTTCGATAACGAAAAACTTCTTGAATCTTAACCTACGATACTCTAATCTTACATTGGTAAACTTTGTGATTCTTAATGAATTTCATGTGTAATTCTTGAACGTATCACATCAGAATCAACTTGAAGTGGATAGTATTTCGATAAGTATGCATCTATTGGAACAAAAAGCCAATTTTTAAATATTCTGTACGCATTTGGTATGGGGAGGAACTTGAAAATAGATTTAATACATAAACTATCTTATCGGTACTTATTATGGGCAAGCCAAATTTAAATTAAGCTTTTGGCTCTCTAAACAAGTCAACATGCGGTTTCTGCAACGTTTCGTGAACCCTAATTAGCTTGCTAGGATTACTCTTATGAGGGTTTTATCAAATTGTTGTAATTTTACCAAAATTTTGATGTTTGTATGGTATTTAATAAAATATGGCAAGTTAGCAAACCGTGTTTTTGTCCATAAAAAACCTTCAACATGATGAAACTAAATGTAGAAGAATGCATTTGTTAGGATCCTTATCATCAGGTCTAATCCTCCTAAGATCTCCAGGGGTAGAATCCCAAGAGATCTGTTAGAAAAAAAGTGCAGAATTCAAAAAGAGTTTGGCCGAAATTTATAATTTCAATAAAGTTCAAGCAGAATTTGAGATAAATCCTATGATGCACAGACACGGACATGGCGATACAGACACGACACGAAACGGGCACGTCAATTATTGAAAATATAAGACAGACACGGGTTTGACACGGTATTATAGTTTTATGTTTTAAAAATTGTGTATAAAAATTAAATAAGTATAATTTTAAAAATGATTTAGAAATAATAAGTCATTTAACTAGAATTTGAGCTTAAAATGATTAATATTAGGATGTCGAGAGTCGGGTATAAATGTCGTTTATCAGTCATTGATAGAAGAGATGATAATGTTGTCGAGAGTCATGTATTGATGTTATGCAGTAAATTCTGGGTGTCAATATTAAGAGGGCATTTATCGTTGATGTTAAGAGGGTGTTGGTAGTCGATGTTGAGAGAGCGTTGGACAAAGATGAGATGTCAAGTTGTGGGTGTAGAAATTGCTAGCATCGACCATCAAATTTGTATTTAAGATACGTGTTTTAAAAAAATTCATAAAATATTTAAGATATGTGTGTCGAACACGTATGTCCAATTTATATTTAATATTTTTTTAATCGGGAACATTTTCGCCTTTTCGGCATGTCTGAAACGTGTCGGAGGAGTGTTAGACGTGTGTTGTGTCGGATACGTGTTGGACATTGCACGCCTCTTTGAGGAGAAGTGTCGATGCATCGTAGGATAAATCTCATGGAAAAACATTAGGGAAACTTGATAATTGATGAAAAATGGAAGAAAACAAACAAGATGCAATGGATCATCAATTCGAGAGAAAGATGCGGCTCTCCCAATCCCTAGCCGGTGGCTAGAGCCCAAGCAAACCTATGAGAAATCACAAATTCAGCAAAAACAAAGATAACTCTAACCCTAACCTTGCCTTCCCATCTATTTAAAAAATACAAATATAACTATAATTACTAAACAACCTCTCTCAAATTTAATTCCCTCCTAAACCACCCCCTCTTTAATTTTGTATTCAAATAATGTGCCCCATAAGGGGGGTCGATGGCTGTTTGGTCTGCCTGGAGTAAACCAAGGGTCAGCGGTGGTGCTGGGCCGGCTGGACCTATCTAACCATACCCCCTCCCAAAGAATCACCTTGTTCTCAAGGTGAATAAATGGAAATTGATGCTTCACCCTCTCGTATGGCTCTCAGGTGGCGTCATAGTCTGGTAAGTTATTCCATTTTATAAGAACCTCTTGGTCACTACTCCCTGTCGTACTCGTCTCAACTCTAGTGGTTCTAATAACACCTCTAAATCCTCTATCAGTATTACATGTAACTTTGAATTAACTACATGATCCCCAATAGCTCTCCTCAATTGTGACATGTGAAATACTGGATGTATAGTAACAGTCGATGGTAATCTCAAGGAGTACACCACTACTCAAATCCTCTTCAATACGTCATACGGGTCAAAATACCTTGGGATTAGCTTCTCATTCTTCATGTTGGTGACTGCCCTCTATCCTAGGGGTGTCAATATTTGACCCGACCCGAACCCGACCCGAAAATTTTTGGTTCGGGCTAGGGATTTTGACCCGTTTTTAAAATCGGGTTGGGTTTGGTTTGACCCAGAAGCCCAAAATCAACCCGGTTTGACCCATTTTTAATTAATTTAGGAGGATTTTAAAAGATTGTTATGAAATAAGTAAATAATATTTCTAAAAAATAATAAATATTATTTGCCCAAATTAAATTAAGCTTGATTTATTTTAAATTGATTGAAGTAAATCTTATCTTAATTTGATTTAGATTTAAATAAAAAAAATAGTAAAACATACCCAAAGCGGGTCAGGTTCGGGTTCAGTAAACCGACTCGTTTGCAAAAACGAGTCGGGTTCGAGCCGGGTCGAGCAGTGTCGGGTCAGTTTCGGGTTGGACTCGAACCCGACCCGTGACCCGATTTTGATAGTCCTACTATATCCGCAGGGCTACAGGTTTAAGAATACCCTATCCTTCATTTGCATAATGCATTTGTGTGGTGTCTCAAGACACTAATGTAGTGTATGATACACTTTTATATATTGGATAGCTTGTTTGTGCAAAGCACTTTGTATGTTGTGTCGTGTATATACACAATATGATGGTGTGTCAATAGAACACATTGTCGCAGCGCGGTTTATTTTGCATATTGAATGATATACTTGCATTGTATACCTTGCGTACTACAATATGTGTGTATGCTTTACATACCTTTCAAAACATTTGGAAAATGCATATGCATGCTGTGAATGCATCTATGCGCATTTTAATGTATGAGAGGGTGTTTTTGTAATATTCAAATATGTTCAATTATGCAGATGATGATCATTTGAAAAATGCATGTTTTCATTTGTGCTTGTAAACGTCTATGTCCGCTTGTACGATTGTTGCAGATTTGGTGGCGTGGTTTACCTCATTTCATCTCTTGGACGCATCAATGCGATCTATTTCATGATTTGATGAAATTTTGAGCTATTTTGATGGTGATCGAGGTTTCATTAATCTCTAATAAACGACATATATGTTAGTCGCCTTCTTCGATGCACTAATTGATAGTGGAATATGTTTAGAGGTCAATAAATGCCCCCCAACAAATATAGTACGCGGCTAGAGTAACCTACGTTTGTTACCACATTTGTTGCATGCTGGCTGACCCTGTGAATTTCCAAATATTTGTTTTGGATGTTACGCTAAGGGTTTCACTTTACGGATCTTCAAGAGTCATCACAGGCAGTGAGAACCTTCGTATTGTGATTCGGACTGAATCTCACCACTGAGTTCAAGAAGACCTCTGCCATGTTTAAATGCAGCTTTTTCTCCTCCGCCAATGCCTCCCACCTCCCTCCATAGCTTCTTCGTCATCACAGACGGTGAGAGCCTGAAAAGTTTGGTCCTTACACCTATGCCCCATTGAACAAGAGGATCAAAATGGCCACAGCAAGAGACATTTTAGTCCAACACAAATATAGAATATTAGGTGGCTCATCTATTCACCATATATATTTCCAAGGTACCCAAAGAATCCTCACCCAAGCATCTAGGGCGATCTTTCACGTTCCCATGCTCTCAAGAGTACTCTGATGAGTTATTTTCATTCCGTTATCTTGCCTTCAAGTTCACTTGCTAACATAGTCATTAGAGTGTCTTCGTAGGGAATCACTCACTAGGGTCGGCTTATCCTTTTCCCTTTGTTTTGTGTCTTGGAATCAAATAAGCTCTCTAGGAGGTATCCTTTGAGAGTCTCGACTAGCTCAATATCATTTCGGGCAAGTAAGATTGCAATACCTCTCTCTCTCTCTCTCTCTCTCTCTCTCTCTCTCTCTCTCTCTCTCTCTCTCTCTCTCTCTCAGTTTTTGTATTGGTGTATCCTCCCTCCTTGTATTTGGATTTTTTTTTCTTATAGGACTTTAAGGAAACTATTGACTTATTCTTGTGGAGTTTAGCCAGTTTGATTTTCATTCTCTCCCGTAATTTGATTAGCTCTATGACAAACTACGATAAGTGTGGAGGTTTTTTACTTTTCTTTGGAGGGGTACGAGTAGAAGGGGATGCTGGAGTTGACTATGTGATCTTTCTAACAATTTCCTTGAGTAAATAATATCAGCTCTAATTCAGTAATTTCCACCACAAAATGTACACATATGACGGCAATCAAGCTAATTTAATTCTTTGACTGTACTTACAGTACAGTTGCATATACAAATCACACAGTTCTTCCTGAAGCTTTAGAAAAGTGGAACTTGGAACTTTTGCAGAAGCTGCTTCCTCGACATGTTGAGATTATAGAAGAAATAGACCATGAGGTATACGAGGAGATTCTTATTATAAGTTTTTTTTTTTCTTTTTCTCATGTTTATGATATGAGAACACGCTGATTTTTTTGTATTTGTGTCAGTTAATAAACAATATTATTTCAGAATTTGGCATTCAAGATCTTTCAATGCTGGAGCAAAAACTGAAAGATATGAGGATTTTAGACAATGTTGATTTTCCTGATTCTGTTGTAGAGCTGTTTAATAAAGCTAAAACGATATCTGAAGGTAAATCGGAAAAGAAGCTCTTAGTCAAATCATTAGAGCTTACTACAACAGATGTGGCAAGCGAAAATTCAGGAACCATGGATGAGGCTGAAGAAGTAAGCGATGTGGCTAAACCTGAAGGCCAACTAGAGGAGGATGAGGATTCTACCTCTGCAGACTTATCTTGGTTAAAGTCTAGTCCTAAATTGCAAAAGGTGGTACGAATGGCCAATCTATGTGTTGTTGGCGGACATGCAGTCAATGGTGTTGCTGAAATTCACAGTGAAATTGTGAAAAAAGATGTATTTAATAGTTTTTATAGGGTGAGAATTTTTTTTCTTAAACCGTAATTTACTGGAGACTCTTTTTTGTATAAATGTGCTGCAAATGGCGTAAATACATATCATTATTCTCTCTTTTGTTTTGTTTGTCACAGCTGTGGCCTGAAAAATTTCAAAATAAAACAAATGGAGTCACTCCAAGACGTTGGATCCGATTCTGCAATCCTGAATTAAGTAAAATAATAACCAAGTGGATTGGTACGGAAGACTGGGTTGTGAAAACTGAGCACCTGGAAGAACTTAAGAAGGTATGCTTATAAGAACTAAGGCTTCGTTTGAGACGGCTTTCTTTCTACTTCTTAAAGTAGTTTTTTGGTACAAATTTTTTTAATTTTGTACTAAAAAGCTGCTTTAAGAAGCAGAAAGAAAGTCGTTCTAAATGAAGCCTAAATCAATCATTTATAACAGGTAGATTTATTATGATAGTTGATTCCTGTCCATAAAATTACATTATTCATAAAGGTTTATACAAAGAAGGGCACAGTCTTTTATGAACTTTTGGGATCATTCTTTCTCAGTTTCTCCTTTGAGATCACTGAACTGCAACAGTGAGAATTTTGCTGCTCAGTCTGGAAGATATCTTAATTGCATGCTTCTTGGGCCAATTATTTATGAATTAGCTCATTATCTCACTTTCGTTAAAACTGCTATGTATCCACTATTGGTCTTAAATGTCATTCCTAACATTTCTTATCTTATTATTTTTCTTTTCTATGAACTGACTATCTCTGTCATTCTCTAACGAAAATATGTAGCTAATTTATAATGCTTTCATTGTAATGTTGCTGTCGTAATGCATATATTGAAAAGCATGCTGATAATGAGGATTTGCACATGGAATGGAGGGCTGCAAAAACAAGCAACAAAATGAAGGTTGTTTCGTTAGTCAGGGAGAAGACAGGATATATCATTAGCCCAGATGCAATGTTTGATATACAGGTTATCATCACCCATTTGAATTTTCATATTAGCATTGGTTCCACGAAATTTTACGTTGGATATGGAAATTTTCTTTGATTTAGGTGAAGAGAATCCATGAATATAAACGCCAACTGTTGAACATACTTGGAATTATTTATCGGTACAAGAAGATGAAAGAAATGAGTGCTCAAGAGAGGATTTCAAGCTTTATTCCTAGGGTATGCATATTTGGAGGCAAAGCATTTGCAACATACGTTCAGGCGAAAAGGATTGTAAAGCTCATCACAGATGTTGGGGCTACCATAAATCATGATCCTGACATAGGAGATCTACTAAAGGTTCTTTTTAAGTTTTAATGTACTTTTCAATACCATTATGTTTTCAGAAAATTTTACTGATTTTTAAAGATTCCCTGGCAAAAAATTTTCAATGTCGCTGTTGAACATGCTACTCTTTAAAGAGGTTCTTGGCAATATCAAATATCCAGATGCAATTAAAGTAATACATGCACCAAATTTTCTGTTGATGTATAATGAAATTAATCAAATATTGATCATTTTGTCCCCTCTAGGTTGTATTTGTTCCTGATTACAACGTTAGCATAGCAGAGATCCTCATTCCTGCTAGTGAATTGTCTCAGCATATCAGGTATACTTCTATAGTTCTATTTGGACTTAACCGGTTATTGTGGATATTTTGTATTAATAGTTGCTAATTGCTGAATCTGTTAGCTTCCCAATCAATTTTCCTGGCTAAATGTGGTTGTTAGGATGTGATAATGTGTTTTTTCAGTTTGTAACTGATCATGTACCACATTTCTATGAATAATTCACCTCATATTTAGAAAGTGTGAAATTCTATCTTCAGGTTGTTATGCTTTCTAGACTATGTTAATTTGGCTACCAGTTGTATAGCAGATATAAAACAGGCCCCATATCCCACAATCTTTAGCACTCAGACTTCGTTTGAGACGGCTTTCTTATTGCTACTTAAAATAGTTTTTTAATACTAAAAAATTATTTTAAGAAACAGTAAGAAAACCGTCCCAAACGAAGTCTCAGTGAAATGAGCTGTTATGTGCTAATAGCCTTTCTTTTATAAATCTTATTGACTGTTGATGGAGCTGTCATAAAAAAGTGTTTATATTGGGATCATGATCGATGTTTCTTGTTCAATCTAGTACGGCTGGAATGGAGGCCAGTGGAACCAGCAACATGAAATTTGCAATGAATGGTTGCATTTTGATTGGAACTTTGGATGGAGCCAATGTTGAAATAAGACAAGAGGTTGGAGATGAGAACTTTTTCCTATTTGGTGCTCAGGCTCATGAAATCGCAGATTTAAGAAAAGAAAGAGCTGAAGGAAAGGTATGGATAACCAACCAAAGAAAACAAATGACTTTCGAAAAAGATAGATTCCTTTACTTACCAGTTAACGACATTTGAGCCATATGAATTGGGGTGATTTTGATGAACTTAATCACATCATTAGCTTTACCCTAATTATTCCATTCTTTCCTCTGGACTGCTATAGAAAGTGTTAAACTCTAGTTAATATAAGAAGTTTTCCCTTGACTTGCAGAAATATCATCTTAGGTTTACCGTTCTCTGCCTAGTTCCACCACGCTAATTATAGTTACTCATCCTATTAGTACATTCTTTATCTTAATTTCATCCACCAAGGCTGTTTAAATATTGATTTAAATTTTAGGGCATGAGATCCCTTATTTCTGTCCACTGTAGCCATCTAATTCTCTTGCTTGTCTCCATATGACTGCAGTTTGTGCCAGACCCACGATTTGAGGAAGTGAAAAAATATGTTCGCAGTGGTGCTTTTGGGCCTTACAACTATGAGGAGTTGATGAGATCTTTGGAAGGCAACGAAGGATACGGTCGTGCAGACTATTTTCTTGTCGGGAAGGATTTCCCCGATTACCTCAAATGCCAGGATAAGGTTGATGAAGCATACAGAGATCCAAAGGTATGTTTTAGCTCATTAAGCTTCTTGCAAGTTCACACATATTTGCATTCTCGTTATTCTTTATGAAAGAAATAATTCTAAGAGAGTTTGTTCACACACAGCATAAAGTAGCAATTATGTATATCTATTTTAAAAGTCGAAATAAAATAATTAAAAGAAATAATTGTCCTGCCCTAAGATAAGATGGTAATATTTGAAATGTAAGAAATTGTCTTTTAAGTTTTTTTTTAAAGGAGACATTGAATTTTTTGGAATTGATTCAAATCTCATGTGGGATAAGATGATTAGTTCAAATAGGAAGGTTGTTATAGAAGTTTTATGAGAGTCTTAGTCAAAAGGCTTGGTGGAGTAAAGAGGTACAAAAGGAAAATAAATTAAATTTTAAAAAGTGAAAAATTGAATTGAGAAATATAAAGTAGTCTTTTTATTTTTAGTTGTTGTGATATTAATGATTATTAACTAATATTTTTGGAAGATAAAATGATACCTATGGGTGACATGTTTAAGTATATTTGATTTATTATACAAAAGAAATAGGATATGGATGAGAGTCTTACTTCTTGAGTCAAGGTTGTGGTATGGAAAATTTTCTCAATAAGAAGATATTATGGATTCTTACAGGAAAATTTTATAAAATCACAGGAAAATTGTTTGCCGACCTACGTAGTCGGATAAAGGCTTGATGTTTTTGTTGTACAGTTAGATTGTTGATATGCGAATTTAAGGATTATAGTAAAATAACATTGATATCTAAGTTATGCATGATAAAAATAAGAATGTTAAGATGATGTGTTAAAACTGAAGGATAAATTAATTAATGATTATATTTGAAAAATAGTTGGACTAACTTTCATTGAAGATAAGGTGATTGGAAATAGTCAAATAGGCTTAAATGGTTTAAACATGTACATTAAAGGGTAAAAAATATATATCTATTGGACGGATAGATAAAATTAGTGTCGGATGAACAGCAAGGCGAATGGGTAAATTTAAGATGAAAGGTTAGATTTTGCTCAAAATGGTTTGCAATGAATTGGTGTATACCTCCAGCAATACTCAATATAAACAAAGAAAAAATATAAGAGTTTATAAACTTGACTCAAATAATTGGATAAGATTAATGATAATGATCATATGATGAATATGCAAGTTAGGCATAACAAGATGAGTATATTAAGATGGATGTATGAAGGATAAATTAAGAATGATTCTATTAAAAAGATATTTGAGGTGATATTTATTGAAGATAAGTTGTTCAAAAATAGATTTAGGCAATTTAAATATATATTTGAAAAATAGTTAGAGTAACATGAATTTGAAGATAAAGTGATTGGAAATAGACTTAGGTGGCTTAAACATGTACATTAAAGGGCTAAAAAATGTATCAATCGGATGGATAGATAAAATTAGTGTCATATGATCATTAAGAAGGAGAATTGATAAATTTAAGATAAATGGTTAGAAATTGCTAAACATTATTTGAAAAGAATTAATTTATACCTCTAGCAATATACTTAATATAAACAAAGAAAAAACTAAGAACTTATAAACTTGACTCAAATAATTGGGTAAGATTAATGATGATGATCATATTATGAATATGCAAGTTAAGCATAGCAAAATGAGTATATTAAGAAGGATAAATTAAGAATGATTATATTTAAAAAAAAAAATATTTGGGGTGATATTTATTTAAGATAGGGTGGTTAAAAATAGATTTCAGCAATTTAAATATGTACAATGAATGATAGAAAATTAACAAATAGATAGGTAAAATAAATGTCAATGGATTAGCAAGAAATATTAGTAAACTTAAGATAATATGGATAGAAGTGCAAAATGGTTGAAAAAAAGTATACCTAATAGCTTAAGTAACCCCCCAACATGAATTCTTGGAGGATTTTGATTCATAAAGTCAATCTTAAATAATTGAAATAGGTTGTTGTTATTGATTATACTATTGTTCCTATTTTTATTACACACCTCATGAAAATTGGACCAACCTTTCATTAATGGAAGTCTCCTTCCGCCATTAAATGCACGCATTTACGGCGAATCATACTATTTACATATTCGTGTCTCAGAAAGAGAGAGAGAGTTTATAATCAAGTGAGTTTATGGTATGGGGATCCATCCAATAGAGCAACATTAGGAATACATTCACTTGCAACTATTAAAAACAATTAACACAAAACATACTCATAATATTCATCAAGCAGTTTGATGTGTATTATAATATAAAAGGAACACTGATATAATCCAATACATCTGATTTGCACTTACATGGATTCACACAAACAAACCTCTAAAATTTATACATTTTGATTTCCTTCTAACATCATCTATTTGATTTACATGTAGCAGAGGTGGACAAAAATGTCAATCTTAAATACTGCAGGTTCTCACAAATTTAGCAGCGATCGGACAATTCATGAATATGCTAGGGACATTTGGAGCATACAACCTGTCCCACTTCCATAGATATTAATATTACCCACAGCAGATAAGCTTTTGATAATAACTATAATAACTCTTATGATCAGGTGGATCAGATTCATCTTCTGTAATTCATACAAAATTGCATGTTAATATGCACCCATCAAGAACTTTGCTTTGCAGTTATATAAGGATTACGATATGCAGTCTTGTTTCATTGATCGAGCTCTCTTTATTCAATAGTTAGTTAAATATGTTCCTTCTGCAAGCAAACTGTAATGCAATCCCACATAAAAATCTCTGATGTGTTATCCATGACTTGATATGCTGCCAAATTATTTAAGGATTATGCAAATGACCTATAGCAGAAGCTGCATCAGCAGTCTGTCACAGCCCATTAACTAATTCTAATTTTGTGTATAATTAAATGTTCCTATTTCATTTTTTTTACCATTGCATTGTTCATCAATCAGTAAACTTGAATCAGGAATCCACTGTAACAAAGCTGAATAGGGAAGCCCTTTATTTGTGTTATCAGAATGATCCGTTCTTGATTTGGTTGAATAATCCAAAGCGTTGTCTGCAGTGCCAGAGCCACTGCAACCAAGTGATTCTATTTTCTGAGCAGTTTCTAGGTCTGTTATCTGATGATAATCCTGAAACCAAATTCAACAGTTACGGACAACAAGGAGGAATAGAGCAAATATTACTGCAGGAGAAACAACCAAGGATTTTCAAAATATGGATATGCATGTTAAGCAAATCAAAGCCTTAAAAATTGCAACCATGATTAATTAAGCCATCTTATATTTCATTTGGAATAACTTCCTTTTTGTTTATAAAGCAATTTTTTAGTATAAAAATATTTTAGGTTTAGAAAATTTACTTACTAAAAATCTATTTTAAAAAACAGAAAAAAAAAACCGTCTCAAACAAAATGAAGCCTTAAAGTGTAAACATTAGCAAGAGCTTAATAGGATGTTTTTGTGTTATCAGTAAGCTTATTTTGTAATGCAACACAAAAACTTCTCGAGGGTTAAGTGAATTGTAAAATTTTGAGGACGCACATGTCACGTAAAGGGTTTTAGTTTGACTCATATTGACTACAATTTGAGCTTTTTATGTTCTTTGCATTTAATTTTTATCAAAGCCTTTAATTTTTTTTTGAGTTAATATTAGATATTTAAAATACGGAATTATTTCAAAGAGTATTATATAGTAAGAGAATAATATGGAGATTAAGAAGGCAACATTGGGAAATTATACTTAAACCAATAATATGCTGTATCTAAGTACAGAGTTGTTAGAAATTATTAATAGCCAAGTGATCGTGACAGTAAGAAAAATATTAAGATAAATACATGACAAAATTAAAAAAAAAAATAGATGAGAAATGATTATATTAAAAGTTATTTGTTCAATTATTAATTACTATGATAATCCGAGAGAAAAGTAACAAATCACATTCATCCTATTCACTTTGTATGGCATGCATTATTTTCTTTCAAAATTATAATTGAGTTTGGAAAAAATAAAATTAATCTCAACCATACATTGTGAATTGAATGGTCGAGATTGCTAACTTCACCTAAAATTAGGATTTCGGACCAAATATTTGTAAAAATAAGACGATATTATATAAATAGACTCATGCGATTTAAACATATGAAACAAATGATAGAAAATGCATTCATAAGGGTAAATGAAATTATCATTGAAGATTAGGAAGAAAGAGGAGCAAATGAAAGATAACAGGAGCAAACCAACGCCATTGTCGACTCCCGCCAGCTGCCGACCGCCGGCATTGGCCACAACAGCTCGCCGGCCATAAAATTTTACTGCCCGTGTTCCTTAATTCATCTCCCTGATCCTAGCATAACTTTGGTTGCTTTTGGTTCCAAAGATGTCTTTAAAATTATCATACAACTTGCTCTAAGTAAAACATATCTGTGCATTGAAAAACTGCTTTTGACATGTATATAGAACGTGTTCAAGGTAACAGCAAAAAATATTCAATCATCTAACTGAGAAATACCATTATAATCGAATCGTTTTTCAAAAGTAGCAAAATTTATGCTGTTGAAGAAATTGTTAAACATATAAATGATGACTATAACTGGTGAGTTAAATGTAAGGGCAGCAGGAAAAGAAAACTCATTTTCTTTTATTAGATTTCATAAACTCATAATATGTATAAACATAACAATAGAAGATAAAGAAGAACCGTACCTCTAGTAACCTTCTTAAGCGATGAGCTTCATGTTGTTGTGTCTCAGATACTTGAACTTCATTGCATTGCGTCTCAGATAATTTATGCACTTCTCGTACCAAACTTATAACTGAAAGGGATTTTTTTCGCTCCTTCCGTACCTTTTGCCCAAGTACAAATGCATTAACAGAAAGAAGAATGAAATTAGTTGTAAGGGTGCCAAGTTGCCAATATGATATGAACCAATTATAAAAAACACCATTATACAATTGATGATTAAGTTCACAATGCAGTCATCTGTATGATAAACCAAATTTATAACAAAATAATAAAACAAGATAATTCAAATTTTTAAAAAATATAGACCTGCTCCTCTAAATCTTGGATTCGTCTAAGAGAGGCTTGTTCAATAGATGCCCGGCGTTTACACTCATCCTCAAGCATGCCTGTGATTTCATACCTCAATTCAGCCATCGCTTGAATAAGATCTTCTGCTTCTTCCTTTGCCTTCAATTTTTCTTCCTTCAGTTCTTCCTAATACAGCAAATAACAACCTCTAACCAATAAGAGCAGCGCACAAATTCTTGAACAAGTACTGTTGGAATCAAACCTTGAGCTTCTCAACAAGAATCTCAGATTCTTGTATTTCATTTGCCATCTTCCGCATCTCATCCTTCACATTCTCGTCCCAGGCTGTTATGAGAGAAAGTTTTGAAACCAACGGGCACAAAACCTCCTCACAAGGGCTTCAGAAATGGAAATAATAATTACTATGATTAAATGGCGCACAACTAAAGGCATCGTAGCATAACATACATGAAAAAGAAAGGAACGGGTATGCATATGGCTTAAAAGCAATGAAGCACAAGCATCAAAACAACAATAGGTGTTCAATATTTACACGCTGAAGTTACATTTAAACATGTTTATTATCCTAAAAGTGGCCCTGTTTTTCGTATATGAAAGCACACCATTCTTCTTGTTCAAGCATTCCTATGAGTGGAATTTAGCTTTGCGGTACAAACAATCTTTTGCATGGAACTCCCAAAATCATTGCTGGAGCTAGAATATGCTTTAGAATGATAACTAGTGAATGCACTTAAATTATGTCTAAATTATCATGATTCAAGGTGATGGCATAATCATTTTAGTGCCCATGTCAAAAAACTCTCATCATCGCCATCATCATAAACCATCATAAACCTATTTCCAACTATTTGGTCACAGGCCTTATGACTTTACACATCCATTTTCATAACTTCCTGAAAAGTTATCTCTACCTTTTTTTTCTTCCCATGCTTTTTATAATGCCCACACTTTATTCGTGCATCATCTGCTCCCCATTGTATGTATCTAATCCATCAAAGTCTATATCCAAAAATATTTTCTATAAAAGGTTCTACTTTTATAGTCCCGCAATGCACCCATTTCGTAGAGCACCATTTCTAGTTTTATCACACATTTGATACTACCTTATTTTCATCACACCTTAAATTGATGTGTTTGTTGTCAAACACTCAGTGTACTCAAAAGCAATATAACTGCCAAACGCCCAAAGCCCTATGTACTGTTATCAAAAGCACTAGGTTCCCTCAAGGAATTAATGACGGCCTAATATTTAAAGTACTAAGCAACCACTCCCAGATGCTTAACTAACTGAAATAAGGGTTAAAATATATAGTTGCATCATTAATAAGCTTACTCCATTCGTGAGAAATATATTTGAATAGTATAAAATAATAACGATCTTATTAAGCTATTATTGGCAAGATAATGAATTTTCAACTACCATTGCACTCTAATTTTGAAATATTGTGATACGCCTTGGAGATAAAAATAGCAAACAAACAATGGAAAACTACATAAATACTAATATCAATGGCTGATTTTGGATTATAACTTCAATATAAAAAACAAGATACATGTGATCTATAATTCGAGAGATAGATCGACTCTCCCAAACAACCTAGACATCGCTAGGAAGCCCTCACAAAAAAAAAACTACAACAACTTTCAAATAAAATTCTCTATACAAAACATAACATAAACCCTACTACTTATAGCAAATAATAAACAACAAATAACAAAACAACACTCCCCTAATTCCCTCCCAAATCTACTTCTTCAATTAGGAAATATCTCCTAATTAATCTTCTCCATATCAGCCCCCAAATCTACCCTCTTCAATTAGAAAACATCTATAAATCTCCTCCAAATTAGCCCCCAAATCTGACCTCTTTAATTAGGAAATATCTCTTAATTAATCCCCTCCAAATTAGCCCTCTTTCCTTATAAATTTGTCTCTCCTATTTAAATTCAAATAGGAGATCTTTCCCTAATTAATTCCCCTCCTAACATAATGAATTATTTCTTTGTTGGGTCCCACAAGGGGACCATAATCTCCCTGGATTTGGTTCCTGGTTCCAGGTTCCGCTCCCTCCACTGCCAGCTGGGCAGGCCGGTCCAGCCTGCAGCAGTTACATTTTACCAAATAAATTATCTTAAATGAGCAGCCAAAAGAAATGTTTAAATAGCTTAAACAACAAAATTAATTAGATTTTTACAATGTAAAGCCAAGGAATAATCTAATATTTATTGCTATCTATTCCATCTTCATAAACATCTATGCTTTGTCATCCATTAGCGTATGTCTAGCCCTTCACCTTTTGTTTCCTTGGACAAACTCCTAAAATTTGAAGCTCATATACCTACATTTAATCTAACTTGTTTAATAAAGTGCATTCTAATTTCTCCAGCTCTTAATATGCTCTTTACAAATTTCAACTTATCAGTGCCATAAAAATAATTATTCTACAAAAATTGAACTATTGGCGCCCTATCTCACCAATTAAGGAAAGACATGCTTTATTGTTGCTTGTCTAAGCAAAACATAAGGTAAAGGCCCCCGTTTGGAAGATGTGCAAGGAACTATAGCATCAACTTGCCTCACTCAAATAGATAGACATTCATACATTAAAAAGAAATAGTTATTTCACTTAACAAGAGGGCAAGTGCAAACTAGCGGTTAAGTTGCCTCGATCAAGTGTTTAAAAACCAAACCAAATCAATTAGTCTAACAGACCCAACCATGAACTAATTCTCTAACCAATTCGATCCAATACCAAATTGTTTTATGCAGAACCAAGAAAACACATGATGAACTTGAGACTGAATCAGTGAACAGGTGAACCATTGAACTGGTGAACCATTCTTGGCGGTTAAATAGTCTGATTTATTTTATTATCAAATTTTCTATTCAATATCAACATTTATTTTTATCAAACAGCTCAAAATTAATCATAGTGTAAATAACATAAAACCTAAATTTGTTAAATTGTGATAATATCTAAAACAACTACAAAATATTTAAGCAATTCAGCATCAAGCACTATTTTGATACTAACTTTACCTATTTTTACATTTATTTTTAAAGCATAAATTTTCTGATGTTTCAATGGATTATGTTATACAAAAGAAGATATCAGTCAATTAGTCATTTAAATATATAAGATGTTTAAATTTAAAATTATAGAAGATATTTTATGCATATGTCCAACATTTCATAATGTAATTTTTTTTGTTTTTTATCAAATATTTGCATTATTATTATCATATTTTAATAATAACTAAACAAATTTAATATTTATCAAAGTTCAACCTCCTGTTAAATTCCAATTGAAGCTTTTCTTCTTACAGTTAAACATATACGCTCCAAATTTTCAAAACCTTACCCTTAATTAGTGTTTTCAAAGCTAAATACAATGTAATGCATATATATAGCCTAAATAGGCAAAATGAAAGGACGCTTTATAAACTAAAGCATTTATAATTTGCATATCATATATGCATACAATAGTCATTTAATTAGTGACCAATTAGATAATGATTTTCAATATATGATACATTTAGCCATCCGAAAGCATAAAAAATCAAAGAAATGAATAATAAAGTGATAAAGTATACTTAAAAATAAAAAATACTGATGAGATTAAGTGACCAACTAGAGGCCGAGAAACAAAGGGAGAAGCGAGAGTTTCATTGAGAAGCAGTCTCAAAAAGAATCTTGTGAGCGAGAAATTACTAACACCCGAGCATATGATACTCAAAATGCTTTTATCATCCACCATCAGAAGTGAAAGCAATCTCATCACCTAATATTGCTTCTGAAATAAGACGTGTAAAATTGTTTAACAAAATGCTTTATGGGTATTCCTTGGGAGATGGAAATAGAAGAATTTATAGCATTAGTGGTTAGTCCATGATATAATATAAAGTTTTATTAAATATATTGAAAACTAAAAGTAATACCAAAACTTATAAGAATATTCAATTTGTAAGCATTCACCCCAATGCATTATATAATGCCTAGCCTTTTCATTCAAACCAACTTTGGCTCCTTCATTAAACTCGTCAAGATATTGATAGACCATTATCTTATCACCTGCTTAAAATTCCACATATAATTTGTTCTCATCAACAATAGACTCATAATTAACATAATTAACAATCAATTTTTTGAAAATATCTTCATGTAAGCCAAACACATGTAGTGCAAATGATCAAGCAAATTCACTAGGCCTAGAATCAACAAGAAACTTAACCATACCTATATATTTACTAGGTTGAAACTTTATAAGTATTTTAAATGGAATTATGCTTGTAAACATACTAGCAAATGAATTATATATATAAACTCGGTCATAGGCAATATTACATCCTAATCAAAAGCTTACGGATGGTCTTTGTTCATCGATCGTATCGTCGAGATGAAATAGTATGCGATCTAAGTAGTCTTCAACGGAATCTTCAAACTCCCAGTCGGGATCAAAGAAATGCGACTGAAGGATATCAATTTGGCCTTGAGAATCATACGTAAATCTATGATCGACTTCAGGATCGGCCATCACGATCATGGGAGTCTTTTTTGTTGTGACCCTTGGAGGAGCCGGCGGTTAGTAAAGGGAGAAGGGAAGGGAGGAGCCGGCGGTGGGGATTCTCGGGTAGAGGGGAAACGGGAAGGGGCGGTTAGGGTTTAGGGCTAAGGAGGTGGGGAAGAAGTTTTAGAAAATCTGAAATTTACTTCAGAATTTTTCTAAGGGAGGAAAGGGAGTAATTTATACTCCAAACTATTCCCAAAATAGTTCAAGGGGGAGCCGGCGGTTTAGGAGGGGTTTAGGGAGCATTTAATTTGAATTAGGGAATTGATTGGGGAGGGAAAAGGAAAGGCAAGGGGCCGGCCATATGGGGAGGGGAAATAGATGTATAGGTTCAATGTATGTGGGCCCAAAGGAATTAATTATTGATTGGAATCAAATCTGAATTTTAATTTCAGATTTGATTTACATAGGGATGCTTCCTAATTGAGTTTTAACAATAGGAAAGTATTTGAAATTCTAATATGTAATTGAATTCAAATAAGGATACTTTCCTAAATAACAAGGGGTTATTTTAGGAAGGTAATTAAAGCAATTTGAATTTGGAATTCAAATTTTGTGGACAAGGTAGGCTGGCGACTAGGGAGATCTAGGGAGGGGAACCGGCGGTTGGAGGGTGGAGGCCGGTGGCTGGATTGGTGCGGTGGGGTTTTCCGGCGATTTGGAGTGGAGGGGGTCGGTTAAGGAGGAGAATGGAGGGCTGGTGGGTGTTTGGGGAAGGGGTAGTCGGCGGCTTGGCACAAAGGGGAGGGGATGGCCGGTGGCTTGAGGCAAGGGGAGAATCGGACCACGAGCCCGGAGCACCTCTGCGACTGGTGGGTATTGCTTCACCCACACCTTGGGACTTCACCACTCAAGAACTCACAAGCTCAAGAGAAGAAAATCAATTTTTTTGTTAAGCAATCATTAAAAAAAATACAAAGCCTAGGGCCTCTATATATAGGCGTCCACAATGAAGAAAACTCAAAGACAAATATACCCTCCGGGCTATAACTCATTAAACTCCCTCATAGGAGTACAAAGGTCAACTAACACAAATAATGAAAATAATATTAATACAATAACATAAAATAACTCATAAATAGATGTTCCTGATCGTGGTCGTCGATCTGCGATGTCTCCTGTGATAGAACCTTCTACTGATGTCCTCATCACATACTCATAATCAAACATCGTAACCAATATCAGTCGTCGATCTGCGATGTCGTCGATCTGGAATTCAAATTTTGTGGACAAGGTAGGCCGGCGACTAGGGAGATCTAGGGAGGGGAACCGGCGGTTGGAGGGTGGAGGCCGGTGGCTGGATTGGTGCGGTGGGGTTTTCCGGCGATTTAGAGTGGAGGGGGTCGGTTAAGGAGGAGAATGGAGGGCTGGTGGGTGTTTGGGGAAGGGGTAGTCGGCGGCTTGGCACAAAGGGGAGGGGATGGCCGGTGGCTTGAGGCAAGGGGAGAATCGGACCACGAGCCCGGAGCACCTCTGCGACTGGTGGGTATTGCTTCGCCCACACCTTGGGACTTCACCACTTAAGAACTCACAAGCTCAAGAGAAGAAAATCAAAAATTTTGTTAAGCAATCATTAAAAAAAATACAAAGCCTAGGGCCTCTATATATAGGCGTCCACAACGAAGAAAACTCAAAGACAAATATACCCTCCGGGCTATAACTCATTAAACTCCCTCATAGGAGTACAAAGGTCAACTAACACAAATAATGAAAATAATATTAATACAATAACATAAAATAACTCATAAATAGATGCTCCTGATCGTGGTCGTCGATCTGCGATGTCTCCTGTGATAGAACCTTCTACTGATGTCCTCATCACATACTCACAATCAAACATCGTAACCAATATCAGTCAAACTCTTATAAATTGTTTTAATTTGCCTATCAATTTGTGGATGATGAATAATTTAAATTTTTCAATGAGCTTTTTCAAAGAATTGTCATGAAATAAGCCATGAATTTAATAGCTCCTATAGAACACACCAGATTTTTAAGTAAGCTATATAATTTAATTACTTCATGAAAATATAATTTAACTATAGGGGACAACAATAGTTATTAAATGGAATATTAATTGATAGGCAATTAGTTAAAAAAAGTATAGCCAATAAATTTTATCCAATTAAATTCTCCCTTTTTAAGACAGCTGATAATTGGTTTTCATTATAGTACAAAATCACTCAATGAATCAACTATAAAATATAAAAATAGCATGAAAACTTTGAATCTCATGAATATTGATAAGCATTGGTAATATTAATTGTTTTATCTTTATCAAAATTAATAAGTATTACATTACTTAGACAAAACCCAAAATACCATCGATGGTGTAACAAAACAATAGCTTTTTAAATTCATATAATTTTTCAATTTACAATAACTTAAAGATTGTCTTAATATGCATCAAAGACTTACTATTAATCAAAATACAATCAAAGTACACAACCAAAAACTTTCCAAAGAAAATCGAAGAATATGATTTATAAGTCTAATAAAAACTCTATATATGTTAGTCAATCTAAAAAACATCACCAAAGATTCATATAATCCATATTTAGTCTTGAATATAACTTTACATCACCTCCCTATAGTATTTTTAATTGATGATACTCCCTTCTTAGATCAATTTTAAAAAATTTAGTAGTTCCATTCATCATATATGACATGTCGTGCAATCTAGGTATAGAAAATCAATATTTAATAAAAAAATCTTATTAATTGTTATATTGTCCACACATATTATCCAACTACCATCTTCTCAAGTGTAAGTGATGTATGGTTGTAGTGGTGACTGATAGCAATAGTTGGCACTGATCAGCAGTGATGGTAGCCAACGATTGTAACAGCCACCTAAGCGTCAACAGCCGACAATCGTGATGGCCGATAGTGATGATGGCAACAAAATGGCCAACAAGGCCATGACAGGTCAATTGATAAGATGGATGCAGATAATGTTGGTAGCAACAGAGGCCAACGGTGGTGGACGCAACAAGGTGACGGTGGTGCGCAACGCAGGATGGTTGAGACTTCATGTTTTGAAAATAACAAAAATACTAAAAGTTGTTTTGAAAGGTTTTAAGAATAATTTAATTTTTTTAAACAAAAAATATTTTTTTTTTCTAAAACAAAAAGAGCTTCAAAAACACTAACAAATAAGTTTTTTTTTAAAAAAAAGTGATGCCCAACAAGTCCCAAGTTTTTTACTTTCTTGGAAATCGTAAAAAATGTACTGCAGCCATTGCTTATTGGTTAGTCTAAAACACTTTTCATTTTTCAGGAGGCAGAATCAGGCATCACAACAGTTTAGATTGCACTTCAAAGCAATAAAACCACGTGACAACTCACTTTGCATGTAGTAGGGTGATTTCACTATTCTCAGATAATGCATCACTTAAGCAAATGAATATAACGTACTATTTACAAATTGAAGCTAGCAGGTCATTAATAATGAGGTAATACATGGGAATTTTTGGACATAGAAGTATTCTAGTTGGTCCACATTTAACTTGAATATTTAATGCAAAAGGCAGAAAGGCTTTTTTGACAACTTTAAATTTCATTAGATTTTAAGGAAATTATCTTTAGAAGACTACTCATGACTTGCCGGGTTGGACAGTGGCCTATAAGTCTCTTAAGAACAATGTGGTCTCTGGTCTAATTCATAAGAACATTAGTGCCAACCCAGTCAAATTTAGAAAGGATTCAACCTGCGCTGCTTTTTAAATCGTTTAAATAAGACCCAGTCAAGAGTATGTTTCTATATCAACAGTTTGTCAAAGCAATTTCTCATTAATCCATAAATTCTCCCTGCCATACATGTCGCCAATTTGTTTATGGACTATTTGACGAGATCAATGGCCACATGCAAGCATTCCAGTCAACTGAAATCTTAGTAGAATCCAAAAGATAAGTACTTATGGTTATCATTAGTAGACTACAAGTAAACCATGTTGTAAACAAATGAAAGAGAAGCTGACATGATTCAGCACAAGAAAATTTTGAAGAACGGTTAACTTACCAAATTCTACTTAATGAAGAATGCTTCTCTTTTAGTCCAGAAGATAAGTTATCATGAGACTCTCCATGAATGCTAGAACTTGTCCTGCTAATTTCCTTGAAGCAGTTATATAGGTGCGCTTCAACTTTACAATGCAATCCTTTAAATTTTCTCTCAGATACCTCTAATTTTATTTTTAACCGATTATTTTCCATCTCAAGAAAGCTAATGGTATCCTGTGATTCATGTAGCTGAATTTCATATTCCTTCAAGAGTTCATACATCTTAGCTTTGTCTTGAACCATCTGCTGGTTCAAACTTTCAGCTTGAAAGCATCTCTCCTCCAAATCTATCATATCAAGTCGCAGACTCTCTATCTCACATTGAGATTCCAAAGCAGCAGATGATATGGCGGCTTCAAGCTCCTCCATCTGCATTGCATAATTTTTGAAATCATCGTCTTTGCTTTTTATTTCCTGTGTCAATTGAAGGCATTTTTCATCAGACTGCACAAGTTCCTCAGTCAATAGCCTTAGTTTATCCTTCAACATTCCCACCCCTGCAAGCTTCAGTTCTAAGCTGTGAACATTCTCACCCATACAATTTGCCTCAATGCTACGCAATCCTAACTGATCCTGAAGGTATCCTGCAATGGAAGATATAAGCAGTTCTAAGACATGAATAAAGTATAGAAGTATTAAAAGGATAGTGCAGCAAAAAAAATTTATTTGAAAATATTTCATAACAAAAAGTTGAGATATAAGATTATTGCTTGGACGGAGCAAATGTAATAAAGATGAAAATGCCATTGTGCCAGATGGAAGACAAGCAAACATGACTTTTACCTATTTCAAGAGAGCAGTTCTTTAGCTCCTTTTCTAGTTCCTTAATATATTTCTTGTCATTCAGACGAGATTCTGATGAGGTTGACCAATCTGACTCCATTTCTATATTAGCAAAATATAAATAAAATCAATATGGATTTTAATAATAGGCTTTCATGACCTTAAACGCTATCTGCAGTCACTACATAGCATACAGTGCCTTTTTCCTTTAAAAGAATGACAATTTTTAGCATCTATTATTTGCATTGGTAAGGGAATAAGAGAAAGGTAAATTTCAAACAAATACAGAAATTTATGCAACACATTCTTTTTCTACAACCAATTGATCTCATGAACAGCTATAGCTAAGACATGCCTTGAGTTCTGAGTTACTCGTCAAAATCAGCAGAGGTCTTAGCTTCTAGGACAAGCACTAAAATCTAACCACTGGGATAGTAATATATTACATAAACCCAAACTTAAGGCACAACGAACACCAACCAACTACAATAGTTCTAAATTTCTGAGGCAAGTCATCAATGAACTAATCAAATAGCCATTAAGTCTATGACTCTATTGCTTTGTTTGGATTGAAGGAATGAAGATATTTAAATGAAATCCTAGCAGTTTGTTGGTTGATTATGAATCTATATTGACTAAGGCTTCGTTTCGGACAGCTTTATTATTGCTTCTTAAAGCAGTTTTTTATAACAAAAATTAAATTTTTTGTACTAGGAAGCTGTTTTAAAAAGCAATAAAAAAGCTGTCCCAAACGAAGCCTAATTTGAACTTTTCAACCACTTTTTCACTTACTTTCACTTAAATCCCCCACATCCAAACACGACCTAAAATACTCTAAGAGGTTGTTTGGTTGGCTAAAAAAAGAATGCAATATAAAGTAAATACAATGTATTTAGAATACTTTAGAACTATTTGGTTGTCTGTAAAGTAAATGCATGGGAAATGTTTTTCTTGTTTGATGAGGTATATGCAGTGTAAAGTAAAAGCAGAGTATTTTTAATTATTTTGTTTTGTTTGGTATGATATGCAGTAGTATCAAATGCACTATACTATTGAAATGGAATGACAACTATTCAATGTTTTAACATAAGATATTTATTATTTGAACAATATGAAAATTTCATATATTAGAGCACTTCAAAATGGAAATCAAGCACTTGAAAATGAGCAATTATACCTAGAGTAAATTTAATATTGCTACAAACATACTCAGTATTACCATTAATGTTTCATAAATCAAAATTACATTTGAAGACACCACAACTAAAAATGTTTATATATGTAATACAAAACAACTACAAAAATATCTAGCCATTACAACTCAAAGTTCTAGCATTTTCCACAACATAAGTCATTTTCCTAGCTCTTTACACATCCATCTGGCCTTCGATTTCATAGGTTTTGAGAGGAATGATTGTATCATTGTTGGAGTGAGAAATCAATCAAAATTTATATTGTGACAAAACTTCCAATAAATCAAACGAGTGAGGTTAAACAACTATCAATTATATTCTTTTACTACTTCCATTACCGTTTTCCTTTCATTCACATTCTAACAATATCTTCAAAACAAACAGTGTATATAGAATTCTCCGTCCCAGAAATGGTTTCTCTAGCCCAGTTTTAAAAGTCGACCTCTGGGAAGCCAAACTGACCCACGCCGCAAAGAACAATAGATAATATCGCCATGGAATTCAAAAATCGAATAGGTCCATCGCCATGGAATTCAAAAATCGAAAAGGCTCAATTAATCATCTTGCTCAATCGATGCTATTTCAGTAACCCTATCCATGATTCTCTCGCTCCTTGGAAGGCTAGAATGCTCAAAACAATGCCAAATAAAGGAAGATAATCATCCAGATCACTCTTTATATTCATCGCCATGGCTGAATGTGGTAAAATAACAAACAAATCGGAAAATGGAAAGTTCAGAAAGATTTATTAAAATATTTGGAAGGCAGTTGTCGTCAAATAAGAAACCTGGAAAGGCCGCTATATGTGTCGCAGCCGAGACTTGCGAAATACTTAGATCGTGACCTGCAGTGGAAGGAAGAAGAAGTGTCGCGGGTGAGACACTTACGGGTGTGAAGATCGTCAACAGTTGCTCGATACGGGCTGCGAAGATAGTCAAGGCGCTCGATTTCGCGGAAGGGCGAGGAGATGGCTTCGCGAGGGGAAGGAAGACGCTGCGGGAGCCAACCCGGAACTCACCCTTTGACCCGATCCGAACCTAACCATTTTTTTTTAAAACGGGTCACTTGTTTCGGATCCTAACCAGACCCATTTTAGATCCGGATCGATATGACACACCAATCCGTTGTCATCTTTACTTCCAATCTAACAAAAAATGGCAAGCTGCCGACCCCACAGGAAGGAATGTTGTCGAAGGTGGCATTGGTTGGAGAAGGGTTTCACAATCGTCGTCTAATCATGTCCGTTTACAATTTCTAATGTTATTTCACAACAAAAAAATCTGGATACTACGTAGGTATCTAAACAAACTGAAGAAGACACTTCATAGAAATATAAATATGCTAAGGACATCTCACCTGCTAGACTGCCTATGTTCTATTTCAAAGCGTATATATATATGCATATATTAATAAAGAAATATTTATTGAATAACAAAAATAGGTTACAACAACCAAGGGCCAACAACCTAAGAAAAAAACAGTAAAATCTCAGAAAAGTCAGACAGAGCAAAGTAATGAGCGGGAGGGGACTTAGGAATGGAGGCCCCCAGCACCAGCCTAGCAGTCAAGTCGGACCATCCGTAGGTGATAGTATACGATCGCATTTCAATATCCAAAGCCGAGGCATCTAGGTTGCCAGCTAGTTAGGCCAACTAGGGGAAGCAGGGGCCTCCTCATCATTGTCTATCAAAACACCAAAAGCCACCGACTGAACCTCTAAAACCAAATCACAAACACTATTTCTTCTTGCATTTTCTTCTTTGCTTATTAACACTCGCATTAATAACACCATGAACAGCAAAGTGGTCCTTCTCAAAATCATGATAATCAGATTCTTCCCCACTAGAAGGAGAAGAAAAAGAATATTCTAAAATTAACCAATCAATTTGAACCAAAATAAAAATTTTCCCAGACTTCACCACTTGCTTTTTCATTTTAACATCAGACAAAATCGAAATAGGGATATTAACAAAATTAATATTGTCATTTATGCAGCATTAGAAATCATCTCCAATTGAGCATGAACCTGATTATCCAACACCAAATTAATTGAAGAGGCATCGTCCCGATTGACGTGAGCCATAGGGGGAGGTTCATATAAATGTGAGTATCATTGATGAGGGTCAATCTATGTCTAGATTATCAATGTTTAATGCACGAGGTCAACCATCAAGCATTTGCACATAACGATATCTTATTGATAAGGAGAAGAGCTACATATTGTACACCCTCCTTAATTGCTAAGAAGTTGAGCCCTATTTGGAGTAAGCTATTTCTATCTTTGATGGATCTTGCTCAGCAGTGAGCTTCCTCCTACGGTCTAGCTAACACAACCATTTCGCATGATGTTATAAATTCTTTGACAATATGAGCAACATCTATGATTTTTTAAAAAATAAATAGTCAAACTTTCCAAATTAATTCAAGTCGTGGTACGTGCTAAATTAACATGTAATTTTTACCTCTCTCTTTTTTCTTTTTCTTTTTTTTTTGGAAAAGATTTAGCATATTAGGCACTAATAACTCCAAAGTATTTTTTTTAGATCCAATATAGTTCATAGAAAAATATAAAAATCTTTTTAAGGAAATGAATTAAATAAATAAATAAAGAGCAGTGAGAGAGAGAGTAAAACCGAGAGATAATTAGTTCTCAATCAATCTCTTAAAAAATTGAATCATGAATTAAGCACTCAACTTAACCCCTTCAAGTAGAAAATAACGAATCAAATTGACTTGTGAGGAAAAAAAAAATAGGGAGATAGATATTTTGCACTTAGCTCTAGCAAGATTTTATATCATTTTTTTTTTCTATGATTTTTCTTATATTTATAACATACTTATGCTCAACCACTTATTCACTGTTTATTTGTAAGGGACAAGGTTAACCGTACAAATATAGCAATGTTGTGTAATTACATAAATAATGTGTTAAAAACTTATTGTAATTGTTTGTTTAGCTAATGTGTTTTTGTAAACCCTACAGTTAGGAGAATTGAGGTTTAGCATCAAATTTAGTTTTGTTTGTGACATCTTTTTTACTGCTTCTTAAACTAACTTTATATTATAAAAAATAAAATTTTTGAACTAGAAAGCTATTTTAAGAAGCAATAATAAATCCGTTCCAAACGGCTTTCTTAATACTTTTTAAAGTCGCTTTTAGTAAAAAAAATTAATTAAAGCAGTAAAAAAATCGTCCCAAACGAAGCCTAAAAATATGTATTTTTTTACGAGTTTCTATGATGACAGCACTTAGTATGCTAATGATTAATTTGAGCAAGTTGAAGAGCTCTATAAATAAGCAACTTTATGAGCCATTCAAGTGAATTCAACAACGTAGTATTAAAATTCGAATTAATGCTTACTCTTGAGCTATTTATCTACATTTCAGCTCTACACATCTGAAGATTTTAAAGGATTTTGTAAGTTTCAACTTATAGATTTTAAGAATATTGATGTAATATAAATTTTAATTAATTATTACAATAATTTTAAAATTCATCGTACAAACATACATCCTACCGAAGATGTTTTTCTTTTTACTCTTAGGCTTGGTTTGGGACGGCTCTTTTATTGCTTCTTGAATCAGCTTTTCATAACAAAAAATTTAATTTTTATATTAAAAAGTTACTTCAAGAAGCAGTAAAAAAACGGGCCCAAATTTCCCCTCTTAATCACTGTAAAACATCTCGCTTTCACACCCTTCCACTTTAATCCTTAATTAATCAGTCCTATAATCCTATGGTTAAGCAATGACTCTGAAGCAAGACCAATAAGATGGCTGCTTCTATAAATACAAAGAGTAATCTGATCGATCAATGAAAATCCTGAAAATATGATTGTTTATTAAAGCGTGATTAATATTAAAAGCCCATCGATCACTTTCAAATCTTATTTGCAGCGTTCATCTTTTGTGCTCAACGGAATCAAGCTGCTGGCATTTGCATCTGTTCATATTGCCGATGCTGACAATCATAATAAAGCTAACAATAATGGAAAATGACGGCTTTCTTTCTTTCATATATAGTATTTTACTTTATATTTTATTCCAACATTGATTGTATTAAGATTTTAATTTGTATGACAGATTTATTATTAAAATAATTGTAAATAATTTGATCATTTTTTATGAGTTAATTAATTAATAGATGTACATAAGCATAATGATGAATATATATTATAACGACCAAGATTCAAACAAAAGATTTATATGACGTTAGAAAAATGGACAACTTTTTTAATTGTTTTAGGAGATTTGACTTGGATTATTACATTGATTTTGTGTGAGAAGTGCGTCATGGAGTAATATGGACGCCTTCTTTTCTTATTGGCTAAATAAATTAGTGCTAGAAGATTCATGTTACATGGTATTTCAAATTTTTTTATAACATTTTTTTTTAAATGGCAAAGTATGGTCGGCTTGAACACATGACATTGAAAAATTAACATTTTCTAACCGACTAGCTACTAGGCTATGAATTCTTTCATATATTTTTGATAATTTTTTGTTTAGTAATTTGGGCTTAAATTATATCTTTGAATTTTAAATATATTTTCTCTTATTATTTTTAAATGATTCGTCAATACTAGATAAAGCTTAATTCATTTAGGGTTTAGAGCTTGGCTTATAAATTGTTTATTTATGTGAGATGAGTTGGCTCAAGAGTCGGCTTGACTCAGTTATATCCCAAGATTCAAAAGTTTAAAAATTTAACTGAATATATAGAAGACATGCTTAAATATTATTGGATCATCTATACATTAAGTTTATATTTGCATTCATTAGGATGAGAGACTTGATCATCGGAATAATTATGATGTTTTTGGTTACCTTATTCATTTATGGTGAGAAGAATTTACCATTGCATAGTTTTATCTCTTAAACTTCATAAACCTTAAGATCACATGAACAAGTTGTCATCACCCTGGTTATTATCTTGCTCATTTGGATTAGGGCTGCAAGCGAACCAAACGTTCGACGAGCTACTCGTTGTTTGGTTCGATTAAAGCTCGTTTGTGATCGTTTAATTAACTAAACAAACAAACTTGAACAATATTTTAAATACTCGGTTCTTAAATAAACAAACTTGAACACTAATGCGTTTGACTCATTTATGTTCGCGAACAACATCATTTGAAGTTCGTGAACAAGCTCGACATTAAGCTCGATAAGAAGCTCGACAAAAGCTCAATTCGTGTTCGATTTTTAACTCGTGAATAAGCTCGATAAAAATAATTAATATTTGACTATAGAATTAATAAATATAAAAATAATCATTGCCTTTATTACATAGACAATTGCTTTTATTTTAAATGTATTTGTTCATAGATACATTCATGAACGTGTTTGTTTGATAGTTTAAAAAAATCATTAAATATGTTCGCGAACAAGCTCGATAAGCACTAAACGAACGAACGTGAACTGAACATGAACCGAACATGAACACTCATTAATTTAAATGAATCAAACATGAACACGAACAATAAAGCTCGAACAAACATGAACCAAACTTGAACAAGCTGATATTAAATGAACAAAACATGAACACTCACATACTCGGCTCGGCTCGGTTTGTTTGCAGCCCTAATTTGGATATGGAGCTCAATAATATCGGAGTTGCTATCTTTGAGCAAATAGACTAAGTCGGTGATTGGCTTGGGTATTTGGGCTTAAGCAACCACATGGGATCCATTTGACTCATATATAATGACATGGACGTTGCAAAATTATTCTACGATCTCTTCATCCATTAAGGTTTTATTGAACAACCAATCATTTTTCACATGTATAATTAAATAGAAATAAAAATTTAAGCATCTTCATTTATATATTGAAATAGACAGTGTAGCTAATCCTTATGTTTGTAAATTCTATGTCAAGCTTATTAAGTTATATTTATAAATATCCAAACCAATTCTTCAAAAAACAAGTAATTGGACCAGCAATCCATGCTATAAAAGAATTTTATTAATATCAAAGCAAATCCAGTAACTTTCAGGTAAGCATGACCTAATATATTTTACATCAAAATATTCTGATATAA